TTAATTTAGCACCAAGTCCGAGGGTAAGATGTATTATATCTAACGAAACGAAGCCAAACTCGGCACATCTAGAGAAAGTAGTGAAAGTTCAGTATCAGATATCCAAGGAAAATTTTTACTGAAGAAACTGCCTGTTTTATTTCGAGATCCTTCAGTGTTCAACCTATAAGTAGGTTAAGGAAGAATATAGTTCACAGGCTTGTAAACAGAACGAACGTCTCCAACTGGGGCCAGCCTACCTCGTTGTCCCGAACTCAGGAAAGATTGTTTTATGACAGTAGGAGGCCAATAGTGTGTTGGTCCGTGATCGGGGGCGGACCATTGCATAGGCTGAGGTTTTACTTAAGAGTATTTATACGTTTTACTTAGGAGCTATAGAGCGCGCGTTAGAGTATGAACAGTAATCACAGGTATGAACAGTCTCGGAATGGCAAGGTCGACGTTGTTAGTGACTAAAAGTCACAGGCTTTAATTATTTATCTCGACGGTATTTATTTGAATTTTAAGTTACCATTGTGAAATGTACAGTGCCAAGCTATAAAAACGATTCGTGGAAGCAAACCAAGAAGAACAATGATATTTTTCATAAGTATGTAATATTTTGTTACGAAAACACTGATTTTAACAAAATTACTCAAAGGATGTAGCGGGAGATGCGCGGCCGGGACGACACAGCACGTACTCCGCGCCTCTCGCTTCGGGATTTCCCGAATTAGAGCTAGTGCTGTGCCATATGGTACTTGAATATTTTTAAATAGCCGCCTTTACACGACACGTTCTTTCACTCGCGATCGGAGTGTGCGAGACTGAACGCGGCAAAGCTTGTACGCGCAATCGTGAGTTTTGACCATTTTTATGTGCGTTGACTTTTTCGCGCGTTATTGTTTCTGTTTTTATTCAGAAAGGAAAAAGCGTCGTGTAAAGGCTAATCGCACATGATTTTTCGGGAAAATTCCGTGACCTGGAGTGTATAAAAATCACGCAGTTTTGTAAACCGCGCGTTCTGAAGACATGGTGTTGAGTGTTATAAAGAAATGGAAAAAAGGGGTGAAAAGAATATATAACACAAGCAGTTTGCTGATCCAAGCGTATAATAGATTATATATTTATTGATTTATTTTAAATATTATTTTCAATATATTATTAAATAAAATTAAATATAAAATGGCAAGAACTATGTAATAAGATCCTTGCTCAATAATCTAATGTCCGCCATTTTGCGACGACAATCGTTTCCAAAAAACCGCGCGTGTAGATTATGTTTGTAGCGTAGATTTAAACGCATGACTGATGCATGAGGGAAAGCGTGAGCGGGCGCAATCTCGTTCTCCCTTTCTATCTTTACATGTGCGTTTTTTACCGCGCTAAAGCCGATTTACGCGTTAAAGAGCATATGTTTAAAGGCAGCTAATAACATGATTTTATTCGTAATAATTATATTTCAATTATAGTATTAGAAGTTAAAATCCTTTGTATTCGTAACCCATATGGAGCAGTCTGAAACTTGAATAGTTCTTTTATAGGTAGGTGTACATAATAAAGATATTAGAATATTAATTGATATTAAAATAAAATATTTTCTATTAACCCTTTTTAATGTGTGGTAAATTAATTATTCAAAAAATCTCATTAATAATCTTATTAAAAAGAAACAAAAGCATGTCGTTCGCAATTCTCTGTACGCGGTTCAACCTCAATGTCCGGCGATATGTGAGCAGTTTAACCTACTTAGGCTCCATATCAGAAAAAATAACTAATACTCTTAGACAAAACTGTGTTAACGTAGCATTTAAAACAAACAATTCTCTTAGGAATATTTGTAATAATAAAGATAAGTTGGAATATTAGTCAAAAAATCGGGTATTTATAAACTTGTTTGTGACGAATGCCACGCTGTATACGTGGGTCAGACTGGTCGCAATTTCGGGACACGCTATAAAGAGCATTTAGCCGCGTACAGAAATTGCAATCCTGATAAATCCCATTTTGCTAAACATCTCTTGGACACTGGACACAAACTAGCCAACGACCACTCCTTTAAAGTCTTACATACTTGTAATAAAGGGCTGCGACTGTGTGTGCTGGAACAGTTAGAGATTTAAAATAATAATAAGGGTTACATTGCACTGCTGAATGAACGAACAAACAAATGTTTCTAATTCACCTTTGTTAAACATCTTTAAGCCTAATCTCTAATAATAATAAAAAGGTAAATAATAATAATGATAATAATAATATATTTGGCATACTCAGGTGGATTCAGACTGAACTTAACGCCTTGGATAGAAAAGTCCGCACTACCATGACGTCCCATAGGATGCATCATCCGAGATCGTCGGTAATGAGGCTGTACTTTCCGCGAAAGCATGGTGGGCGTGGCTTCTTGAGCGCGCTCACCATGCATAATCGCGAAGTGTGCAGCCTCCGTGATTACTTTCTGGCGAGATCGGATGATCCATTCTATAAGGACGTCATTTCTTGTGATAAAGCACTTACCCCTCTATCCCTAGCCAACGAGCAATGGCAAGACCCGGCAGTGCAGAGCATTTCCAACCGGGAGACCGTATGGAAGGAGAAGGAGCTCCACCTGAGGTTCTACAGGGCTCTACATGAGCCTTTCGTAGACACAGTAGCCTCCCTCCACTGACTACGCTTTGGTGATCTCTTCGGGGAAACCGAGGGTTTTGTCTGTGCAATACAGGATCAGGTTATTAAGACCAACAACTATCGGAGATACATCCTAAGGGATGGCACCGCCGACATCTGTCGAGCTTGTCGTCATCCCGGGGAGTCACTTAGGCTTGTCATCTCCGGTTGTTCGGCGCTTTCTAACTCTGATTACTTGCACACGCACAACCTAGTAACCAGAATTCTACACCAGGAGCTCGCTCTGAAATACGGTCTCGTGGATCGGAAATTGCCGTATTACAAGTACTTGCCGGAAGCCGTGCTATAAAATGATCGCGCCAGGCTCTATTGGGACCGGGCCGTCATCACAGACAGGACTATTCTTGCGAATAAGCCTGATATTGTGCTGATGGACCGGGCACAGTCAAGGATATTTTTGGTCGACATTACCATTCCGTATGACGAGAACCTCGTGAAAGCCAAAACAGATAAGCAAACAAAATATCTGGACCTGACTCACGAGGTGACCGACATGTGGGGTGGTCTGCCGACCGAAATTATTCCTGTGCGTCTCTGCAAACGGGCTAATCCCAGTCAGCCTCAACCCCATATAATATAGTACATCCCTCACCTTCGATTTGCCGACGATATAGTCATGGCAGAATCGCTGGAGGACCTAAGCACTATGCTCAATGACCTCAATGGTGTCTCCCAACAGATAGGTCTTAAGATGAACATGGACAAAACAAAGATCATGTTTAATGTCCATGTCACACCAATGCCGGTAGTTGTTGGGAGCACTATGCTCGAAGTTGTTGACGATTACGTTTACCTGGGACAAATAGTCCGACTAGGTAAGTCCAACTTCGACCGAGAGGTCAATCGACGGATACAACTCGGCTGGGCAGCGTTCGGGAAATTACGACACATCTTCTACCTTTCAGGTATACCTCGATCTCTGAAAACTGAAGTGCGTGTTGCCAGTGATGACTTACGGATCTGAGACGTGGTCCTTAACTGCTGGCCGTATGAGGACGCTCAAGGTCGCTCAGCGAGCTATGGAGAGGGCTATGCTCAGAGTTTCTCTGCGTGATAGACTAAGAAATGAGGATATACGCAGTAAAACCAGAGTGACTGACATAGTCCAACGGATTAGTAAGCTGAAGTGGCAATGGGCCGGCCATATAGCTTGAAGAACCGATAACCGATGGGGAAGAAAGGTTCTCGAGTGGCAGCCTCGTACCGGTAGGCGTAGTGTAGGGCGACCCCCCACTAGATGGAGTGACGACCTGGTAAGACATGCAGGAAGTCGATGGATGCAGGTGGCTCACTGGTAGTTCAGCAGTGGACTTGTAAAGGGCTGTAATAATGATGATGATGATGATGAGTCGCAGGTTTTTATCGCACGACGCGGTCGCTCGCTACTTTAGTGGGGAGCGGTTGTGTCGGCGTGTATAAATAGCAGCTGTTTTGGCTCGCCGCCCATTGTCGGAGGGGGGTCTTAGGACATGGTTTTTGTTGGTGTGGTGTGTGGGTTTTTTTTTCATAGTCTTTTTTCTCGTTTATTGGGGGGGGGGGTGGTGTGTTTTTTTGTTGGTATGTTTTGGCGCAAGGAGGGACTGCTAAAGAGGTAAGCATTTTATTTTAAGTGGTTGGTTGCAACGTACAAGATCTGTGTCTGTTTTCCGTTTTTTTTTTGTGGCAAAGTAACGCCTGATTCTATTAATTATCTATAATAAATTCACAATTCAACCGCGTCCTCTATGTATCAGTATCTATAGAACACCTGCCGGCGCTTGGCATATTGGGCTAAGCGATACGCGCGCTTTATAGCTTGCATATTTATACCAAACTTAAACTAAACTATTACTAAACTTAATAGTGATTCTTTCCGTTTCACGTATAATTATACAGTCCTCGCATTTTAAAAAAGAAAAGAGTTAGATATAATAATACATATCCGTCAATACATAATAACATTTATAATTAATGATTTCATTTATGTGTAATATAATGTTATATAATGAGATTATGAGAAAAAACAATTTAAATAAAAATGAATTATATTGCAAAAACATTTTTTATTATACGAAAATTATTTTTACATAGTAGTAGATAAAATAAACTATTTATTTCAATACTTACACGTTACACCATCAGTCAATCATTACACATTTATTGCAAAAATGTACTTTTACAATCTGTCAGTTTCAACAGCTCTATCGAACAGGAATGAGTTTACACGTTCCTTGGTAGCCTGATATAGGTATATTTATATTGATTCGAAAAGGCAGCACTGTGTCACACAATATCCGTACATTACTAGCATTTAGTAATTAAACTTCACAACTTTAAGGTATTGCATTAAACACTCAATGCAGTATTTGTTTGGGTTGCTTGGAGGGTGACGCGCCTGGTAACCGACCGTCGCCCGTTCTTTTTACTCCTGTAGACTTGATATCTAGAAGAAGAATATAAGAGATATTATACATCTTTCTCTGTAACTAATTATAACGTAATATACGAGGAGCGACTGAAAAGTTTTGAGCCAAAGTACCTTCAAGTGTCATTATTGTCTCGCGCTGTATATTATATATACACTCGGCGTCACAAAAATCGCACCTCTTTAAATTTTTACTTCAAACTACTTTTAAATCCGTTTAATCAATGGTAAGTCTATAAGTATATCATTGGAACGGTAATTTAATTTACTCATTAGAAGTAATAGTGAATAATTAGTGGTTATCATGTGTTTTTACCGGGAAATAAAAAAGTTAATGTCAACAAGAAGAAAATTACGATTTATTGCAACTTACAAAATTGAATAAAACATGTTTTAAAACGGCCTAAAACTTAGCGCTACCACTGCTTCCATACGGTCTTTCATTGATCTAATCAACGTAACAATGCGTTTTTGAGGAATGTTATCCCATTCCTCAATGACAGCCTCTTCGAGTTCTTGCAGTGTGGTGGGGCAGGATCACAAGTCCATACTAGATGCTTTACATCATCCCAGAGGTGCTCTATCGAGTTTATGTCTGGACTTTGCGCCGGCCACCGCATACCATAGATCCCGACCTCTTGAAGGTAATCATGTACAATTAAAGCAGTGTGGCAGCGGACGTTGTCATGCATTAATGTAAATCCATCGCCAACAAAACCCGCACATGCTCTTCTAGGATTTCCATTAAGTATCGGTGAGCAGTCAGCGACCCTTGACCACGAGCACCTCCACTCCGGGAAACGCAGACAAGGCTGGTTTTGGCGTCGACTGACATGCCACTCAAGAACATGCATGTGCCACCCTTGAATACAACTGTTTCTTCAATACAGACTTGTTCAAATCGTTCCCCTTGCCTTCTGTATACTCTTCTGCGTTTATCATTGCAGAAAAGACATACTCTCGTCTCATCCGAAAAAAGTATCGTCCAATCAATATGATCGCGTGCAAATTGCAATCGATCTCTGCGATCTGTGCGGTCAATTTTGGACCAGTTGCAGGCCTATGCACTGCAATTTTCTTTTCTCTTAACTGTCTTCTGATCGTAGAGGCACTTACAGATGTACTGCGAGCTGATCGTAGCTACTGTTGCAGTTCTACAGCATTTGAGAATCTATTGCGTAAAGATGTCGATACAATGAATCGATCGTCTCTTTGAGATGTGCAGCGCTGTCCAGACCCACGCCTCCGAATATAGCCACCAGTGTCCTGGAACCGTTGGAATACTCGTCGAACGGAAAAACGAGATAGATTTAGTTGCCGAGTGACACTGTCGCATCCCTAACTGCAGTAGCGCAATCACTTGAGCGGCTTCACCAGCAGTGGTATCCATATTGTAGAGTTTTTAGCATGCTTCAGAAGTTTACGTATATCCTCTTGAACGTTTTGAAAGCGAACGACTCACATTTTACCTGTACCGGCCCTTTTATAGCACATAGCGCACCGCAACTAGTGATCTTTATGACGCGTATTTTTGAAACAGTTTTTTCAACATCTCGTACTCAGGAAATTTCTTAAGTTTATGAAACAAAACAAAAAAGGTTAATAAACGCACTTTCTATAGATACCAATATTGACGTGATTAAATGTAAACACTGAGAGCCAGATACACAAGTAAAATTTTTTCGGGGAGGTGCGATTTTTGTGACGCCGAGTGTATATTATTAATTTGCTAATATCCTCTTTAGTATACATACAGAGTTTCACATCATTAGCATAATTACGCTTTTAGTAATTAATCCGTAAACATCATCATATCTGTTATCCGCACATTGTACAAAATTTGAGTACAGAGCTGTCGTAAAATTCTTCACAAAGAGCAAAACGCCATCGGAAATATTTGAAGAGACGTCGACAGTTTACGCGGAGTCTCGACCTTCATTTGCCACCGTAAAACGTTAGAGTCGAGAATTCAAGCATGGCAGAGAGTCGCTAGAAGATGACCCCAGGTCAGGGCAGCCAAACACTGGCGTTAACGAAGAAAATATTGAAAAAGGAAAGAAACATGTTCTTAAAATCAGCGAATCAAGTTGTGGCAGATGCACATGCAAAAGGTATGCGCACGATGAGTGCAAAAAATGCTTACTCCGCTGGACAAGCAGCATCGAGTCACAACTTCGCAGGAGTTTTTAGACATCTGTGGCGATAATCCTGCCGATTTTATCTCTCGCATTGTCACTGTTGATGAAACATGAGTCCGGTAGTACGATCAAGAGTCAAAACAAGAGTCAATGCAGTGGCAGCATTGAAAATGGAGAAAAGCCACCACCGAAATTTAAAGTGGAGCGATCGGCATCCAAGCTCACGGCTACTGTTTTTTGGGACTGTAATAATAATAATAATCTTTATTTCTCTCTACAAAATTGCAGTTTAAAACATCATTACATCTAAATACTAAGTAATATACAAATGCTAGTTGTAGAGAAGTGTGAAGGAATTTTATTAATTGACTACCTTCCTAAGAATAGTACAACGAACAGGGACTACTACGCTACATTGGTGACAAAAGTGCGTCAAGTGGTTGTTAAAAACAGAAGAGGCTAACTGGCGAAGGGAGTCCTGTTTTTGCAGGAAAGATCTCTGCAGACGAAGATTTTCGAGTGACGAAGAAATGAAGCCAGCGTAAACTGTAGACGAGAATTCCTAAGGCAAAGACGGCGAATATGTTTTCATTGAGTCAAAAGCACCTTATCACAAATGTAAGAAGTGCATTGAAGTACAAGGAGGTTACATCGAAAAATAAATTATGTACACTATTCTATCAGCATTTTTAATATCCTAAGGTATGTTAAATTCAGCTTGATAATTTTGATAGCTCACTGTAGGGATGGGGTGATATATAAGTGTCAAAATGGCGAACCGTTGTTGCCTGTAACCCATGTTGGCAACAGCGTTGCGGGGGCTCTTGGCATCGTACGTGCGACGGTGTCTCGTATAACGCAAGAAAAGTATGACGAGCCATCATCAACACCAGCTATATAGGAAAACACGGAAAAATAAGTAGTCAACGCCGAATAAGAAAAGAAGGAGGAAGTTTCGAGTATCACTGCAATTGATGACTTTGATGCTGCCGCAACTGAATATACAACACTAAGAAAATTAATAGTAATTAAAAACTGATTTATTTAAAGGCAGTTTGCAGTAATCGCCCACCATATTACACAAAATTGGATTCGCTTATAAAAATGCGATAAAAGAAAAATAATAACGGAGCGCACAGATATTGCCTTAGCACGAGTGAACTTTTTGAGAAAAGCCAAACATATTTCAAATTGGGATAAAGTCGTATTTCTGGACGAGACGTAGCTTAATGCGAACCACACTGTATCGAAAGTGGACTGATCACACCGTACAATCAGGGCTCGAAACTTTTCAGCCGCCCCTCGTAATACCTTGCCATGCAGGATTAGCCATTTTGAATTTCTATACCATAAACACTAATAGAAAACTATAAAAATATTTTAATAACATTCATAACAAACTCCGTGTTTTAACGTCGGTTTTGTAGAAAGTTGACTTGATTAATAGTCCAATGGTGACCGAAATTAGCACGAGGACTGCCTTCAACCACCACGCCGGATATATTACAAATATTTTTGGACGTTATCAAGTGTGCTTGTGGTTTTATACTTTAATACCGTGTTGTTAACACTTGTGTAAGCAAAACAATTGCATGCCTCGGTTTTTTACATGCTCCGCTGTTTTAAAAGTCGATATCGATTATTTAGAGTTGGTAATCATTTACAGTTTGGTTCGAATAATACCAGAATAAATCAAAAACGGATAATTTAAAACACAAGATTAATCAATTTCTTCGAATGTGTTGTTACTGCTTATTTCTAGAGGGACAGTTACAAAATTTTAGATTAAAAATAAATTTATTCAATCACTTTCAGTACAACCAGTTGAGCTGTCGTTTAGATTAATTACTGTTTGAATTTCAATAATGCAGTCAAAATTAATGTCTCTTTGAAAGTCATTCATAATCAATATTTTTGTCTTTTCTACCACTTTTGCCCAATCATCCTTTGTGACATGGGCACATGCTTCAACGAATATCAAAGAAACAGTTCAATAAGTTAAAGCTGAGTAAGCACCCGAAATGGCGGGAGATTGAAATTAGATAGTGGTTTTTTCAGCGCGGTCTTTTGATAAGTTTTTTGTAACTGCACAAATTTACGTTGACAAAGTAAAAAAAAAATTGTTTTATTCATGATTCATGTAATTTAAGGAATTTTAAAAATAAAAATTTAATTAAACAAATAATACATTAAAAAAATTAATGATTCGATTATTCGAATATTTTTACCGTTTATTAGAATATTTTTGTCGATTATTCGCATAACAACGAATTTTAATCATCCAAACACTACGGTAAGGTACGATATATCATTGAAACGAAGTCAAGTGAAAAAAGTTGATACTGGTTATTTTTTTTAAATATTTTGCTTTGTTTGAAAGATTCGAATTTAAATTAGTGATAAAAACTATACACATTGTAATGAAATATAGAAAACTTCATAATTCTTCGGATTTACGTAAAAGGTTATTTTCAATTGTGTGAGTACGCTTGTGCAAAGTTATTATGGAATGATTAATGTGAAACGTCAAAAGGTATTTCTTAGATTTGGTTGACTATAGTGTACGTTTATGAAATATCCTCTCAACTATTGGAGGCTCATGACCAACAGTGGACTGTTTACAGACTGAAAATGAGACTCAAATAATACAAATAGTAACTGTTGAAAGTTGACAATAATAGCTTTGTCTTGACCTGTTAAATGAACTTAAGAAACTAATTGCCTGAATGGAGATGGATTACGGAAGCAATGTGGATTTACTAAGATTTGCATGCAAAGACAAATACCCGGTGTTGTTTGTGTTGATACATTCGAAGATCTCAAACTCACATTGGCGAAAACTAGAAAGTCTTTTCTGACTAAATGCGACAAAATATTTAAAAAATCTTATGGAAATTTTGTTAAAAAAGATCATTATAAAATAAATCAATATATTGAAGGCAATGGAGTGTGAAAACTGTTACTCTGCACTAGCAATTTCATTGACTACTATTATATTGTAAAGATTGATATTTAAAAAAAACAATGATATATTTTTATCATTGTATTGATTTTATTATAAATTTAAAATGAGAATGTAACTTAGTTTTACTAAAAAAAAACATATTTTTTTGTAAATAAAACACTCCTTTTGTTTGCTGATTCCTCCGTAGGGTCTTATTTTTGCAAGCAATGATTTTGATGTTCATGAGCTTGAGTAAAAAACTTTGATTTTGGACTTCAGATTATTTAATATGAACAGCTTAGCCCTTTAAACTATTTAATATATTTATATCATTTATTATTTGCATTCCAATCTCATTACACTTGGGTGTGAAGCAGAATTTTATATAAGGAAAAATTGAAAAGAAATAAATTTAGTCGGTGTCGGTAGTTGTGAACGGTAGGTTACCTTGCAGCCACCTGACTTGCGTGGCGGGCCCGTAGCCCTTGTCGTTGCGCGCGGCGATGCGGAAGATGATGGCGGGCTTGGTGGACGAGTCCACGTGCGCCGAGCCCAGCGACGCGGCCGGCACCACGCACGTGTTGGCCTTGCCGCAGTACACGCGCACGAACGCCAGCTGCGACTTCGCCGCCTCCTGTCGTTTAAAGCCAACATTGCTTATATACACGTGCACGTAGTATGCGTGCTAGAGCCATGCTGCAGCTATATTATGTACGTGGTAGGCGCCATGCTGCAGTTATATTACCAGTATAGTTCTAGCACGAATGGCTCGGCTCGACCGGGGAAGGACCACGCTCTCACAGAATACCAGCGTCAAATAGCAGCTTAACGCTGCTGTGTTTCGTATGCTGAGTGAAAGACCAGTCCTCACGGGTGACAACGCATCTGCATTTTGATTAATTTGTAATCAAGGATATATGTAGATGTCTATTTGCCGCAGCAACGTTGCCATTTACACGACAATTGCCGTGTTACACGGCAATTTGTTTCTATTCAGCAATAAAACACGGTACACGGCAGCATATTAAATGCCGTGTTATAAAACACGGCAATCCAATGGCTACAAATGTTTTCCGTAAATTTTATGGGTAGTCGATAAGTCATTACAACGCACATCACTAGACTACACTAGACGTAGTCTTGACTCTGATGAGCGGGGAAATCACACACGAATTCGACATACTATCGCGCACACTTCATTGTTTATGGTATTCATTTCATTCTTTCGTTTTTTGCAAAGTACATTAAGAAGATATACTGCTGTTTATTTACTTTATTTAACTTTACTAGCTAAGCACTTTATCAGATCTTAAGGAAATTGTGTAAATTTCAAACCGACAAAACAAATGATAGACATTATGGAGGAAAATAATAAATATAAAATGAACGAAGATGAAGAAGAAGTTTTGTGTTTTGGGAAATTTGTACGATGACTGAAGAGTAATGTTTTAATGTCATGTTTAATCTTACTTGTTAATATAAAATAAATAAAAATGTACACAGCAATTTTGTAGTTTTTATACCAAAACATGGCAATCCAGATCCCTCAAACACGGCAACTTAAAATTTCGAAATGGCAACCCTGGGCCGCAGCAACCACTTACCATCAGATGGACTGTGTGCTCGTTTGTCACCCTATCCTATAAACAAATAGTAGTACACTTGTAGCAGGAATGGGTCAACTCGACCAGGGAGAACTACACTCATAGAACAGCAGCTTAACGCTGCTGTGTATCGTATAGTAAGTATAGAGAACCGGCGACTTTGTAACTAGAAACGAGGCATTCCATCGTAGTCCTTACGGGTGACAACACATCTGTATTTTGTTTTGTTATCGAGCATGTAGATATCTATAAGATACAACAACTACTTGCCATCAGGTGTGTTTAAAAGGGGGGGGTCTTTTTTGGACGACGGGTAATGAAATACACCGCACTGCTTAACACGTGTGATATGACATGAGGCGTATAATAAAGTAAACACCTAATAATTGTAATATACACCACCAACAGGCGGTAAAAAGGCATATTCATATATCGGTACTTTTTTACCATAAAAATTGATTGTAAAAGGTTTATTTCATAAAACCCTTTTTCAAATTTTATTTTTTCATTGGGAGTATGAAATCGATCTATCAATAAATACCATTAAAGTGTCCTAAATAGCACTATGATGCTGCTATTGGTTGACATACTTCATTTATTTTGGTGAAGTATTATAATTACTTAAAATGTGTTCCATAAATATTTTATAACTTAAAGTCGTTACTAAACGTGTTCATTTATTTAAATAGTTGAGAGTATTTCGTAACAAAATATTACCAACCTTAGGCTGAGTATTCGAGCGTACGGCGAGGTAAACAGAATATTCGAAAATCCCTTCAGCAGCGACTTGCGGCGGCTCCCACGAGAGGTGTGCGCCCTCGACAGACTTCGATATCTTTATCGCTGACGGTGCGCCCGGAAAACCGGGCAAACACGTTTTAAATGCAGATTCCTGTGAAGAAAACAGATTATTCTTTCTCTAACAAAAAATAAACCACAATATATAATAAAAAAACAAGAGTCCATTTGTAGTTCAATTTAACCGATTCTCTTTAAGTCCAATCACTATATTTTAATATTATATATTATGCAACCATTCAATAGTAAAAAAGGGCAAAGTTACAGTCTATATATACGTCCAGCTGCTGGGCATAGGCCTCCCACATTTCTGAGAGGCTTTTAGTGCAAGGAAATGTTCGCCCTGTCCGCCGCGCTAGTCTTAAGTAATTTTATTATTTATAGTCATTTAGTTATTTATGAGTAAATATTGCTTTTAAAAAAAAAAAGTTGTTGTGAAGTTTTTTGTACTTTATTTTTTTCCCCAAAAACAATAAAAAAAACCCTTTAAACTTTTTCTTTTTTTTTTTTTTTTTATTTTAAATTTTTTTTTTTTTTAAAAAAGAAAAAATATTTTTAAAAAATAAGGGGTGGAAAAAAAAAGGTTGGGGGTGGGATGGAGGGTTTTTGTGTTTTTGTTTTTTCTTTTTTTTTTTGGTTGTTTTTTGTTCTTTATACTTTTTTTTTTTTTTTTTTTACTACAGAAAATTAATTAATTTTGTAAAATTAACTTTTGATATTGCATATGAATCAATCGTGTACAAATTTAATAAAAGTTTCTTATGTAAACCAACAATAATGAAAAAATTGGTATCCTGTCTATTGTTTAAAAATGAGGTATCTATATGAAACTTACTTCACTGAATTCGCCGCGCCCACAAGAGTTAATAGCAGCAATTCTGAATTTATATGCTGTGCCATGTTCCAGTGGTGTCACCGGAAGTCCACTTAGATCCGGTAAATTGTCAAGTGATAGATTAGAAAGATCAACATTGGGGTCGGAAATATAATTTTGAACCTGAAATTGAAAAAAAAAACAATACAGTAGAGGGACATTTTGTAACTACATAACATTTGAATCTAATAATTGCGAATTGAAAATATTCTCACCGTAAAAGTGGTGCCTTTCACGATACCAACGGTGTACCATGCATCTTCGTCGTTCTGGATTTTTTGCTCTTCTTGCTCAGGCTACAAAAATATTAAGAAAATGATTAGCAGTGAATAAAAAGGTTTTTTATATAGTCAGTCACGATACAGTCTTAAAATATCCCACGGATAAGTATCTTATAGTGGGTGACTTTAATTTAAGCAACATAAAATGGATACCCGCTTCCAACTGTTCCAACTCTTGTAATTATTGCTATGAGCCAATTAACTATAGTGTGCACCACGAACGGTTACTAGTTGACGAAATTAATGCGCTTAATTTTTGCCAATATAATGGTATACGCAATAAATATGGTAAGACACTCGACCTTGTATTATCTAACTGTGATGTAGCCGTATCCGATTGTAGTGACGACTCTTTGGTACCAGTAGATCCCTTTCACGGAGCGTTAGTAATGGAAGTACGTTTTTATGAGCTAAGCATACTTAAAACGGCTCCGTTTATCAAGTTTCTATTTAATAAAGGTGATTATCAATCAATTAATGAAAAATATGCTGAAATTGATTGGCGAACCGAATTCTCTTCGAAATCTCTTAATGATTCCATTAAATATTTTTATGAAATATTTGAGAAATTAAGAGATAAGCATATACCGTCAAAAATAATTAAACCGGAGTCCTACCATACATGGTATTCCCCAGCATTAAAGAGAGCAATTAAAGAAAAACATAAGTATCTTCGTAAATTCAGGACCTACGGTAATAGATCCGATGAAGAATCGTATAAAATACTACGCACTCGTGTCAAATATTTGGAAGATATGTGTCATAAAAACTACATATCAACCGTTGAAAGTTTAATAGAAAAAAATCCTAAATATTTGTGGTCATATGTTAAACGTAAATCAAAAACTCACTCTATTCCCAGTAGTCTCAATTTAGGTAGTGTAATCTACAACACATGTCAGTCTATTAGTGACGCGTTTGCAACTTATTTCATGTCAAATTTTTTATACCAGGGCGCTCAATCAACTCTTCCAAATATTTCTAATGTGACATCAACATCAACCGCAAATATATCAAAAATAGAAGTTAACCCTAAATACGTATGTCGGTTGTTGAAAGCTCTTGATCCATCTAAATCTGCTGGACCTGATAACCTACCAGCCATTTTTCTTATTAATTGTGCAGAGACGATAGCACTACCAATAAGTTTGCTATTTCGTAAATCGTTGGATGAATGCTCAGTTCCTAATATTTGGAAACGTGCATATATCACCCCTGTGCACAAGAAGGGTCTTAGGACTGATGTCACTAATTATAGGCCAATTTCTAAGTTGTGCATTATTTCCAAAGTCTTTGAAAAGTTGGTTTATGAGCAGGTGTATCCGTTACTCAAACAAAGCATAAGCCAGTCTCAACATGGATTCTTCAAGGGTAGATCCACCGTTTCCAACTTGGTGCTTTTTAATTCATTCTTGACTAAAGCCATGGATGATGGTCATCAAGTTGACGTTGTTTATACAGATTATAGTAAAGCTTTCGACCGGATTGAACATAATTTGCTTTTAAAAAACTTCAGTATGTTGGTATCTGTGGAGACCTACTGCGGTGGTTCTCCTCTTATATCGACAATCGCTCGCAAGCTGTAGTTGTTAACAATTATATATCAGGTTGGGTGTCAATACCAAGTGGCGTACCACAGGGGTCCTTACTGGGACCGTTGCTATTTCTGATATTTGTTAACGATATTGAAACCTGTTTTAAATCATCACACCTACTGTGTTTTGCTGATGATATGAAAATATTTTCCACAATCTCATCGCAGGCTGATGCTGAATTAATGCAGGAAGATCTACTAAGATTGGAGGAATACTGTACTATTAATAAGCTTGAACTAAATCCGTCAAAATGTACCCTCATTACATATTCACGCAAGCGAAACTTAATTCATTTCGGCTATCACCTTCAAGGTCAGAAGCTACAAAAATAATCAGTTGTACGTGATCTAGGGATTTTCTACGACTCTAAGTTATTATTCAACAACCATGTTGACAATATCATAGCTAGGGCATCTAAGGCGTTAGGTTTTGTCATGCGTACTGCTAATGAGTTTAATAACATTAAAACAATTAAAATATTGTACTGCACTTACGTCCGCAGTACGCTTGAATACGCTTCGCAAGTCTGGAATCCAATGTATGATACATACATTTCACGGATTGAAAGTATTCAACGTAAATTCATACGATATCTTTGCTATCGTACCCATAGAAAATACCGTTCAGAAGACTATATATCCTTATGCAAACAACATCATCTGTTACCTTTGATAAAGCGTCGGGAGATTGCTGACATTGTATTTTTATTGAAAATTTGTTCTGGCAATGTCGACTGCTTAGATCCGCTATCGCAAATATCACTGAGAACACCTACGGTTAACCTTAGGAGGAATGCATTACTCTACTTACCAGCTTCATCAACTAATTACGGAAAAAATACTTTCTTATATCGGTCTAGTAATATTTTTTAATAATCTGTGCAAAAAGCATGATTTTGATTTATTTAATACTAGCTATGTATCGGCAAGGCGGGCATTAAGTCGAGATTTTTTTTGTGTCGTAATTTAATTTACTTTAAGAACAATTATGTTGTGCGTTTACCCTGCTTTTATTTTCCTTTATGGCTATTATTATTAGTTTCACTTATTAAATGTATGATGTTGTGCATTTAAATTAGACTCCATTTGTTGCTCATAATTGTGCTATGAACTTTAAACGACGAAAGATTATGTTAGTGTATTTCTATTAGTGAGAACCTGTTATTGGCTTCTTGTAAAATTTAACATGTTGTTTATTTAAGATTTGTAAGCTGTTGGTTTTCCATTACATAAAAATAAAATAAAATAAAATAATTAAAAAGCATTAATCATCATCATTACAGCACTTCACAAGTCCACTGCTGAACATAGGCCTCCCCCAAGTAACGCCACAAAGCACGGTCCTGAGCCACCTGCATCCATCGACTTCCTGCATGTCTTACCAGCTCGTCACTCCATAGTGGGTGGTCGCGCTACACTACGCCTACCGGTAAGAGGCTGCCACTCGAGAACCTTTCTTCCCCATCCGTTATCGGTTCTTCGAGCTATATGGCCGGCCCATTGCCACTTCAGCTTACTAATCCGTTGGGCTATGTCAGTCACTCTGGTTTTACTGCGGATATCCTCATTTCTGAGTCTATCACGCAGAGAAACTCCGAGCATAGCCCTCTCCATAGCTCGCTGAGCGACCTTGAGCGTCCTCATACGGCCAGCAGTGAAGGACCACGTCTCAGATCCGTAAGTCATCACTGGCAACACGCACTGGTTATACACTTTAGTTTTCAGAGATTGAGGTATACCTGACGAGAAGATGTGTCGTAATTTCCCGAACGCTGCCCAGCCGAGTTGAATCCGTCGATTGACCTCTCGGTCGAAGTTGGACTTACCTAGTCGGACTATTTGTCCCAGGTAAACGTACTCGTCAACAACTTTGAGCATAGTGCTCCCAACAACTACCGGCATAGGTGCGACATGGACATTAAACATGATTTTTGTTTTGTCCATGTTCATCTTAAGACCTATCCGTTGGGAGACACCATTGAGGTCATTGAGCATAGTGCTAAGGTCCTCCAGAGATTCTGCCATAAGGACTATATCGTCGGCAAATCGAAGGTGAGTGATGTACTCGCCATTGATGTTAATACCGTATCCATTCCAGTCCAGTAGCTTGTAAACGTCTTCCAATGCAACGGTGAAGAGTTTCGGGGATATAGCATCACCCTGTCTTACACCTCTCTGCAGTTGGATAGGTTTCGAACTCTGGTTCTGTACTCGGATAGCCATCGTAGCCCTACTGTACAAACACTGCAGCACTTCGATATACCGACAGTCAACTTGGCACCGCTGAAGGGACTGTAGCACCGCCCAAATTTCGACGGAATCAAAGGCTTTCTCATAGTCCACATAAGCCAGGCAGGTGGCAGATTGTACTCTTCGGTCTTCTGTACAATCTGCCGCAAGGTATGTATGTATGTGGTCTATGGTACTGAAGCCTTTTTGGAAACCGGCATGTTCGGGAGGCTGGAAGTCATAGAGTCTGCGTGCGAGACGATTCGTAATGACTCTCGAAAATAGCATGTAGACGCGGCTCAGAAGGGAAATCGATCTGTAGTTCTTCAAGAGAGCGTTGTCGCCTTTTTTAAAGAACAATACCACCGCGCTTCTGCTCCACGCCTCCGGAGTAGTGCCACCATGGAGGACGGAATTGAAGAGCTTCTCAAGGACTTCAAGTACCGGTGTTCCACCCGCTTTCAGAAGCTCCGCTGTAATTCCACCCTCGCCCGGGGCCTTGCCGTTTTTAAGGTGCTGGAGAGCCATTCTAATCTCGCTCAGATTGACGTCCGGGATATCATCAAAATAGTGTCGGATAAGACTTGCTCTTGGATCGTTACTCACACTTGCGTGTGGCTCCAACGATGATGTGTACAGCTGCCCATAGAACCTCTCAATCTCACTCAGAATCTCAGGCGTCCCGAAAACGATGTTGCCACACTCAGTCTTCAGCTTTGACAGTTGGCTCTTTCTGGCAGATAGATCTCTGGCAAAGACTTTGGAGCCCTGGTTCCGCTCGACTGCTTCTTTAATACGAGCAGTATTAAAGTTGCGTAAGTCTCGCCACAAGCATTTGGAGATCTGTCTGTTCAGTTGCCTGTATGCTGTCAAATCTGTTGATTGCAGCCTCATCTCCCGTCTAACAGCCATGAGATTAAGAGTGTGATCGGAGAGTTTTTGTGTTCTTCTGCGTCGGGTCTTGCAGAACTTAGCTCCGACCGCATGGACAGTTTCCACGAGCTTGTCATTCATATCGTCCACTGCATTGCAATCTTCTAGGCACTGAAAGCGGTTACGTAACTCGAGCTGAAAGGTTTCGGAATTCTGGATTAGAGCACGAGGGGGACGGAGCGTTGACTTCATTAGACGAGACCTCTCCAACTTAACGTTTAGGTTCAGTGTGCCTCTAACCATTCCGTGATCGCTGCCA